GGGAACATACCCAGAAGGGGCTGGGCAGGGCCCTGGACTCTGGGGTCTGGGGTCTGGGGTCCTAGGGCGTGGCCACAGGCAGAGCTTACCCAGGGAGAAGGGCATAAAGCCTTCATTCCTCTTCAGGGCCCCGTCAGCATCCAGAAAGTGGCCGGGGTTGAAGGTGTTCGGCGTTTCAAAGTAGCGCGGGTCATGGGGAGCCAAGCTCAGGACGGGGAACACTTCCGTGTTCTGAGGGAGGTCCAAAGGTTAGAGAGGGGTCTCTTCTGCCCACCCCTAGGGCTCTGCTCTGCAGATGTGAGTTGATGACTGTGCACCCGCCAGACACACCCGCCCTGGCCATGGCTGGAGGTGGTGTGGGGGGTAGGGAGGAGGGCATGGGGGGCTGGTGCTGGGCCTCCTCCATTCCCCACAGGGGCACCTGGGGTCCATGCCCAGCCCAGCTCCTGACTGCAGCTCCTGCCAGTGCAGACCCCGGAGGCAGCAGTGATGGGCCCTGCCCAGCTGAGACCCCAGTTCCTGGCTTCCACTCTGCCTCATCCTGCCCATTGCGGGCATTGGCTCTGCCTCTCTCGCTCTCTCTCGCTCTCTTGCTCGCTCGCTCTCTCTTCTCCAGCCTCTCAGCAACTCTACAGAAACTCAGGTAAGAAAGAGGGCAAAGACCACATCCAGGAGATGGAGGCGCTAACACTGTCACCTCCAAGCCCCTTACAGAGACTCCAGAAATCCCGACGAGAGTTCCTCTAGCGCCCCCTCTGGCCGCCGAGCGCACAGCACCCGACCTGGTCCTTGGCTCTCAGCTCAGCAAGCCTCACCGGGGAGGGGACAGGGCTGGCTGTTTGCAGAACACCCGGCGCTTTCCCTGCCCCCCTCTGCTGCCTTTAATGTGAGTCCCGGTGTCGCCAGGAGCTGGTTTTCCGAGGTTGCGAGTTAAGCAGCAACGCGCGACGCCCAGTTGTCCTGGGACACCACAGCTCGCACCCCTCCCGGTCCCTGTCTGCCCCTCTCTCGGGTTTCCGGTTGCCGGGCGCTGCCCCGTCTCCTTGGCTCGCGGCCTCACCCTTGGATTTCCGCAGCTCCTCCACCAGACACCGGGCCTCCTCCTGAATGCGCTCCTCCACGCTCCGCTTCCCCATGCCGAAGTCCCGCATGGTGGCCAGGGAGAATCTCCGAAGGGCCCGCCAGCGCTCCCCGTTGGCAAAGATCACTCCTGGGGGGTGGAAGGAGACTCTGTGCCTCCCCAGCCCTCGCCCCACACCTCAGGCCCACCTTCCCTGAGCACCCCTCCCAGCGCCCGCTCTCACCGTATCCCTGGAAGATCGGATCCATCACGGCGATCTTCCCCCTGCCAGAAAAGGCCTCCGCTTGGTCCACGAGGGCCTCGCGGATGGCATCCGTCCCACACAGCACGACCACGGGTCTGGATCCCAGGTACACCGTGAACACGTCCCCGTATTTCTCTCGGAGCTGCCAAGCACACCCCGCCCAAGGCCGGCGGCAGTCAGTTCCTGAACCTCTGACAGTGGGCTACAGAGTGGTCACAGCCATCTCCCCGACCCCCTCCTCCCCGTTCCCCTTGCCGCGACCCCGCAGCCCAAGGCCCTGCCCCACTGGTTGGTGCCCTGAGCAGTACAGAAGGCTTGAATTCTGAACAGCCGGCGTTCCAGTGCTCACCACAGCAATCACCTGGATCCGCTCATTCATTCATTCATTGACTCATCGACAACACGCTGGGATGTGGGGTCTTCTGTGTGCCATGTCCTGCTCTGGTCTCTGGAAGGGCCCTCACTCATCTCCCTGCCTCCCTTCCTGTACCCCCTTCAGTGCCTCGCTGCTCGACCACACCTGAGTTATCCCATTCAACTAGAAGCTCCCAGCCCGCGTCAAGCCCTCCCAGGCTCCGCAGGGCCGCCGTGGTGTGGACACGTCTCTGACTACTTCTCCCTCAACTCGCCCTTTGGTTCCCGCCGGCTTCAATAAATCCATCCCCAAGTTGAGGTGCTTAAGTCTAGGGGACTTTGGGACAAAGAGGCCTCTTGTTTCAGGGTCCCGGCTGCCCTCTCACCAGCTGTGCACCTGGGCCAGGTGCCTTCTGCATCTCACCACCTGTCATGGCCCATGTCGCACAGGTCGTCCACGAGCAAAGGCAGCCGCACGCAGGGAAATGGATTTCGAAGTCAGGGCGGCTGTTGGGCAGCCACTGGGTCATTGCTGGGGCACCTGCCTCTCTTGCTGGAGGGCCTGGTCCTGGCCTGGCTCCTCGGCTTCTGAGCCAGCACCTGGACGGCGGCAGAGGACGGCCCATGTCCCTGGGCCCTGCCCCCCATGTGGAAGGCTTGGGTGGAGTTCCAGGCTCCTGGGTTCTACCAGGCCAGCCCTGGCCTCTGTGGCTGTTTGGGGAGTGAACCAGAGCCAGGAGGAGCTCTTGCTCTGTGTCTCTGTCTCTCTGCCTTCTCGCTAAGACACTGAAAATGAACGAATAACAGATTTCTCTGAAGTGTTAGCATGTTTTAAAACTCACCATCTCCATCCTCAAAAGAAGACTACATATGGAGACCACTGAACCAACAAGTGTTTTCTGTTCAAAATATTTTTTGTTATACTGAAATCATTTTGAACAAAGACAGCATCTTAATACAAGATCATTTGCCTAGAAAGTTTAAAGTGTTATTACAAAGCTGTAACTGAAATTAAAAAGCTCATTATCAAATGCAAATGTTGGGGCTGGTGCTGTGGCGTAGTGGGTATTCCCACGGCCTGCCGTGCCGGCATCCCAAACACTTGGGCCACTTCTGCTGCTTTCCCCGGCCATTAGCAGGGAGCTGGATCAGAAGTGGAGCAGCGGGGACTTGAACCAGTGCTCATATGGGATGCCAACATCACAGGCAGCAGCTTAACCCACTGTACCACAATGCTGGCCTTTCTAATCAATTTTAACATTTGCATTTGTTTATTTGAAAGGCAGAGTTACAAAGAGGATGAGGCAAGGGAGGGAGAGAGAGAGAGAGAGAGAGAGAGAGGTCTTCCATCTACTGGTTCTCTCGCCAGATGGCTGAAAACAGCTGAAGTTGCACCAATCCGAATCCAGGAGCCAGGAGCTTCTTCCAGTACTCCTACACGGGTGCAGGGGCCCAAACACTTGGGCCATCTTCTACTGCTATCCCAGGCCACAGCAGAGAACTGGATTGGAAGAGGAGCAGCCGGGACTAGAACTGGAATGTCTCATTCCTAGTTTTTTCCCAGTGCCTGCCAGGGACGCCTTCCTCTCCCCTCTCCCCCTCTCCGATCCACCCTTGAGTGAGCTTAAAATGCCCAGGTCTTCAGTGTGTCCCTTGCCACCCAGCGGAGCGCTCACTGTCACCGTGTGGATTCTGTGTCATTTGTCTGTCTCTGCAGTCCGACTGCCAGCTCCTGAGGGGCAGGGGCTGTTCGGTCTCCTGTCCCTGAATGCGCCCCTGTGCCCCAGACGGTGGGACCAGGGGCTGACCGAATGCTGCTGGCAGCAGCCATCGCCCTGGCCACACCCCATGCTGTCCAACCCCTGGTGACCTTTGTGGGTTCTCTCTGGGCCATTGTCACGGCAGGGACAAAGGTGACACAACATTCCTGCACTGCTGTGACAGGATGTTAACTTGCCCTTTCCAACAAATGAGAAGCGCATGTGTCAAACACTCGTGGACATCCTGTGCCGTTTGCATGAAATGTTTTGGACACCCGAGTCTTAGACTGCTCCATGCAGAAAGGGTCTCCAGAGACCAGCACCAGCCCATCCCCACCCGAAACTGAAATCCCTTCATTGGCGGTGCTGACAGGTCCCGGCGTCCTGTGAGCTAGGAGACAGCCGCCAAGACCCCTACAAATGCACAGGTAGCTTAAGGCGGATGTGGCTCTCACAGTGAGCGGGGACTGTGTGGGGATTGATGGCCAGCCCTGGCAGAGAAGAGGAGCAGTGAGACAGCAGGTTCTGTCTGCGGAGGCACGGTCATCCCCACTGAGCTGCCGCTGGCAAAAATGCCCTTACAGAGGGGGATTGTGGGGAGCAATCCGGACTGGACTAAGTTACTCGAATTAGGACTTATTCTATGCATCTGCTCTCCCACAATATGGCGCTGGGAGAGAAGTAAACAGCTTCCGCACAGCTGCCTCCAGTTCAACCAATTAACTGTAGGACTTGCTCCTGATTGGAGAACAGCGTACTCAGCCGAGTTGGGATTGGCGGAGGAGGACTATAAAGGAGGAGAGAGACGGCATGCACCAGGAACATCTATGGGGAACATCTAAGGGAACCCGTGCAGCCCCCCAGAGAGCCGGCCGGCGGTGTGCCGCTCCCCTGCGGAAGTGGGGAATGCGGCCAGGGGGAACTGCCCTTCCACGGAGGTGGAAGGGATAGTAGCCAACCCGGGAAGAACCAGCAGCAAACCCGGGGAGGGCCGAGCAGACGAAAGAACAGCGCAGGGTCCTGTGTTGCTCCTCCACGAAGAGGGGGAGCGACATAATGGTGCCGTGACTCGGATAGGAAACTTAGGACGGATATGAAACCTAGGAGGGAAGAAATGGGAAGAAACGGGAAGAATTGGGAGAATACCGGAGAGAAAGACTAGCAAACAGCCTAGGGAAAAGCCGGACGAAAAAGGGTGCCGGAAGAAGCTATTGAAAGCCTAGGCATAGACTTAGATACGGACTACGGGGGGAAGCTGGGAGAAATCTCTAAGGTCGAAAGCGAAAGTGAAAGCTAGAACAAACAGGCTCCGATGCGGACTGTGGGGAGAGGCCAGGAGAAATGAGGGAGGAATATCGTTGGAGGAAAGCTTGGGGAAACATACCGGGTAGAGAAAAATGTTAGGGAAATTGAAGCCGCGGGGGGCAGGCCAAGGCGGAAACGAAAGCCACTTTGGGATTCTCAAGTTAGCCCGGGAATAGGGGGCGAAAAGTTAAACCAGAAGCTGAGACGTAAGCTCAGATTGGGATCCGTCTGATTAGCCCGGGGAGCAAAGGACGGGAAGCCAGAT